GCTGTTGCCGCCGCCATCGCTACTGCGGCATCCTCCACACCCGTTCAGGCCACGTCCTCCACCCCCTCTTCCCCTGACATGGCCGCATCCTTCATCAACATGTCTGACATCCGCACCGACTCAGTCGATAGCATCGCCCGCAACCTCGCAGGCGAACAACCACCAGCAAACACCGCCACCCCCGACCTCTCCGCCATCCTCCACGCACTTAACACCCTCCGAACCTCCGTCACCGCCTCTCTCGACGACATAAAGGCCAACATGTCGTCCATATGCGACCACGTCACCACGATCGAAGGGACCATCCCCTCCATCACGGTCGCCACCACCACGCAAACCACTCCCTCCTCCACAACGCAAACCACTCCCTCCTCCACAGCCGCCTCCAGCAACACCCCCCCGCCGACCTCCTCCACTCCTACCACCTCTACCACCACATCCACCAACCCTTCAACCTCCACCACCGTCCCGTTCCCTCCACCTCCTCCCTCATCCGGCGCATCCAGCACACCGCCTCATTCCTCGCCCATCCACGTCACCCCTCTCCCCCCCCCGCACTCCCAAACCCTCTCCCAACCCATCATGACCACCTCCACCATCCCCACCATCCGTCCCACGTATTCCCAAGCCACCTCGGGGGTTTACCACGCAATGCCACAACTCCCCCCCAACTACCTCCTTGAGGACAACAACCAAATCGACCACACCTGCTACGACACCACCCTCGATAACCTCAGCCTGAACACCCTCTCGCAGATCGTTCACTGCGACGGGGAAATCCCCCGTTCCTTCCGATCCGGCGAAATCATGTCCTTCTCCGGCCTCCCCCACGAGGACGTTTTCCTCTTCCTAATCCAGCTCCAAAACTCTTTTCACCTCCACCACATGCCCCTTGCCCACTGGCTCCCCATTGCCACCTCCCGCCTCCTCGGCAATGCCGCCAAATGGTGGATGGTTGAAGTCAGCAACCCCCGAGCCTCTGGAGGACCACGTCACTCCTTCCTCCAATGGGACAAACTTCTCGCCGCCACCTTCCGCCCCCAGAAAGCCATTGACGACTACCTCGAACAATTCTTCCACCTCCGCCAGACCGGTCCCACAGACCGCTTCGTCCAATACATCCGCTCCCTCCGCCATCACCTCCCCACCACCGTCATTCCCGACTTTGCGTTCATCTCCCGCATCAAGCGAGTATGCCACAAAGATCTTGCAACCGCCCTCGCCCACGAACCCAACATGCCCCTTGCTGACCTCCTCTCTCGCATGCTACACCACGATCGACTCCTCCACCCCCATGACCAGTCCGTGCCTGCTCCCTCCCGCCCCCTCTTTTTCCATAACGACACCACTCAACCCACCTCCGATGACGACTTCGACACTGCCTCTCTCGACCCCTCCCAATTCATCATCGAGGACCTCCAGACCACCCACCTTATACGGATGGAACGCCAGGATCGTGCCTCTCGACCGCCTTCTTCCTCTCCACCCCGCCGCCTCCAGAAACTYACACCCGCAGAAYGCATATACCTCCAGGAASACAACGGGTGTTTTCGYTGCCGCCAGTTAGGTCATCAACAGACCAACTGCCCCAACGCTAGCCACTTTACTCGACAGGCCCCTCGCTCCACGGGACCCGGCCCTTCTACTCCCACTTCTTCCTCCACCGCGACAGTCGGGCCTCCCTCCACCTGAACACTGTCCCCCTGTCTCTCGCAATCCACAACCCTAAAACCATGTATAAACCCTGCTACAACCTTGCAACCCTGCTCTACACACACCCTTGAACCCAGTCCACCCTTCCCTTGATYCTCATTCCTGATGTCTGATCTTCCCTTGCCCTCGCCTAGCCTTGTCCCATCTGTCCTCTCCACTACCTTGTCTCTCTTGTCCAATGCTTGTGAACTTGCGTGACGCCGATGATAAAGGATCTAATGGCAAGCGCACGAGGACGATGGCCTGCTGCCTCACTGTTCATGGAGATTATGCAGCTGGTTTGGCCACCATGTTGTTTCATTGGCCGGCATCCCGACTCGCGGACTTACCGGAGCAGCAACTTGTGACATGGATCTTTGCATCAGTCTGCGACTTCCTTGCTTCCAGATCAGACCTCATTGCAGTTCGTATACCGGACGCACCCTAGCACTTGGACTTTGACACTTGAACTACTACGCTTCTAGGACTTTTACCTATCGCAGCTGCTGAAGACCGCTTCTACCACCTACTCCAAAGACCTGATCAAGACCGCTGCAGACCCCCTTTCAAGACACTTGGACACTTTGTTCCTACATGAGATTCTGCTTCCGACTCCTTCGGACACACCAACCTTTGCATCCTGAACAAACATTTTCATCTTTATTTTTCCTGACTTTGACAACCCTGTAGAACATCATTAGCAGATCCCTGTTTCCCTAACCATTGTTCCCCGTACCCACTAGACCATCAGTAGACATCCCGTGTTCCCCTGACCATTGTTTCCCTTACCCACTACAACATCAATAGAAATACCCTGTTTTCCTGAACACCGTTTCCCTTACCCAGTAGAACATCAATAGAAGTTCCCTGTGCCCCGAACTTTGTTCCCCCTTAACCTACAGCGAACCATGAGTCCCCTTAGTTCATCAGTTGGACCACCCTGCTCCCTACCTTCCCTTTAGTTCATTCGTAGGACTACCCTGTTCCTTGCAACCCCCCCTAGTTCATCAGTAGGACAACTCTGTTCACCGGTACCAAACCCTGTTCCCTCTTACTCCCGCAGCCCATGCCACCCACATCATACCCCTCTTCC